AGATCTGTCTACGACTTTGCTTTGGCATATGGTCTAACACAACTGGTTACTTCGCCTACGCGGATCCTAGATGTGGAAGACCATGTACCTTCCCTGATGGACCTACTGCTGACCTCTCATCCGGACGGATATCAGGTCTCCGTCGATGCCCCTCTGGGCTCTTCGGATCATTGTCTGATCCGGAGCACGGTGCCACTCACGCTCCAATCGCAGTTGCGATCTGCAGCTTGCCGCCGTGTTTGGCACTATAGGTCAGCTGATTGGGACGGGATGCGGTTTTTTTTTGCATCCTACCCTTAGCGGGCGGGTTTGCTTCTCACCGGAAGATCCCAGCGTTGTTGCCGATTCTGTTGCTGATGTGGTACTTCAGGGTATGGAACTTTTTATTCCATCCTCTGTGGTCCACCCGATCCCTAAAAAAGGCGACCGCTTAGACCCGTCCAACTACAGGCCTATCGCCATCACCTCCTTGTTCTCCAAAATAATGGAGTCCATTATAAATTGCCAGCTCATGAGGTACCTTGAGGATCACCAGCTGATCAGTGACCGTCAGTACGGTTTTCGGGGTCGATCAGCAGGTGATCTTCTAGTTTACTTAACTCATAGATGGGCGGAGGCAGTAGAGTCCAAGGGGGAGGCATTGGCCGTTAGTTTGGACATAGCGAAGGCCTTCGATCGGGTCTGGCACAAGGCGCTTCTTTCGAAGCTCCCTTCCTATGGGCTTCCAGCAGATCGGAGCATCAAGGTCGTTGTAGACGGTGCATGCTCCGACTACAAGCCTATTAACGCTGGTGTTCCACAAGGCTGTGTGCTATCACTAACGCGGTTTCTTCTGCATGTCAATGATATGTTGCTAACTGGTAGCATTCATTTCTATGCGGATGACAGCACTGGTGATGCTCTATACACCGGCCGTGTCAATATTTCTCGGGAAAACGTCGCCGAGTACCGGAACAAACTTGTGTCTGAAGTCGAGTTTTTGCTGAACAAAGTCTCGGAGTGGGGGCGACTAAATCTAGTCCAGTTTAATCCTCAGAAGACACAAGTTTGCGCGTTTACCGCTATAAAGAACCCCTTTGTCGTATCTCCTCAGTTTCAAGGCACTCCCCTTGCTGCCTCAGCCAGTATCGGAATCCTTGGCGTCGACATATCGAACAGCGTGCAGTTTCGTGGTCACTTGGAAGGGAAGGCCAAATTGGCCTCTAAAAAGCTTTGCGTGCTCAGCAGAGCGAGACAGTATTTCATGCCGGCACATCGCTTGCAACTTTACAAAGCGCAAGTTCGGCCCCACATGGAATACTGTTCTCATCTCTGGGCCGGGGCACCTCAGTGCCAGCTCCTTCCACTTGACCGCATCCAGCGCAGAGCGATTCGAATCGTCGACGACCGAGTTCTTTCCGATCAGCTCGATACACTGGCACTGCGTAGAGATGTTGCATCTCTTTGCGTATTTTATCGCATCTATCACGGGGAGTGCTCTGAGGAATTGTTCGGACTAATTCCAGCCGCTCAATTTCACTATCGTACATCGCGACAAAACTCGCGATACCATCTGGATGATTGGCGGTCCACCACTGTGCGATTTAGAAGAAGTTTTCTCCCTCGCACAACTTCTTTGTGGAATCAATTACCACCAGCGAATTTTCCGAACCGATACGACTTAGGAACCTTCAAGAAAAGAGCTTACACCTTTCTAAAAGGCTGGCAACGCATCTGCAATTCCCCTGGTGTTGCGGTTGTTCATGGGCAGCGGTAGTCACTTACCATCAGGTGAGCCGCATGCTCGTTTGCCCCCTATTCTATAAAAAAAAAAAAGTGTGATTATCATCATCATCATTACAGCCCTTCACAAGTCCTCTGTTGAACATAGGCCTCTCCTAAGGAATGCCACAAAGCACGGTCCTAAGCCACCTGCATTCATTGACTTCTTGTATGTCTTACCAGGTCGTCACTCCATCTAGAGGGGGGACACCCTACACTTCGCCTGCCGGTTCAAGGCTGCCACTTGAGAAGCTTTCTTCCCCATCGGTTGTAGGTTCATCGAGCTATATATCTGGCCCATTGCCACTTCAGCTTACTAATACTTTGGGCTATGTCGGTTACTCTGGTTCTACTGTGGATATCTTCATTTTAAAGTCTATCACGCAAAGAAACTCCGAGCATAGCCCTCTCCATAGCTCGCTGAGTGACTTTGAGCCTCTTCATACTGCCAGCAGTGAAGGAACACGTCTCAGATCCATAGGTCATCACTGGCAACACGCACTGGTTGTACAATCTAGTTTTGAGGTTTTGAGGTATACCAGATAAGAAGATCTCCCAAACGCTGCCCAGCAGGAAAAGTTATATAGTGCAACTATAACTCATAGTAATTAAAAAATCAATTAATAAATAATTATAATTAATTTCCATTTCAATAATTTATGATTTAATGAAATGGAAATTATTTCAGGGTAGCAGTTATTTCCATGCCTGATGTACATTATTACATTTTAGTTATGTTTTCAATAAACTAGAAAAGAAGTATTATATTTTAGAAACAGACTTAACAATGACAGACTCTTGCTACCTGCGTGAAATAATTACCTACAATTGAGACACCCCCTGTTGGTAGATACGCAGTCAGGGCTTGTGGTTTCTAGGCGATTGAATGTTAAAGTTTTTAACGCTGTTTACATGCATAGTTTTTTCTAAATACTTATAGAAAAAGTTTTAATATAATTTAAAAATAATATATTTGTATATTACCTATCTATTTGATAAATTATAACGGCAAAACATCCTTCCTACAATAATTGTTGCATGGATAGATGATTGAGCAAAGAAAAAGATTCCGATATATCATTTTCTTAGTTACCGAAGGTAATGAAAGTTATATTTATTTCATTTTTTTTTTAGATAGGTACTTATAGTGAAAAAAGAATTAAGTAATAATTTAACTACAGAAGTAATACCTAAGTACCTACTTTATTACAAAACTTAGTTGAAATTTACTTCACTACCCAAGTACCTACTTACATACCTATAATAGTCTTATCTAATAAAATTATTTAAATTAAAATTTTGTTTACAAGTTTTTAACTAAGTCGAATACAATCACATTTCATTTAGGAATCATATTATATTTATAATCATATATTTTTTATATTAAATAAAAACTATTGTAAAGTAAATAAATTATTAAAAGTTATTATTACTGTATTTTTTACTTTTTATTGACAGCCCTAAGTAACCATGGAAAGTTTGCCGTGACGTAGGAAGGGGAAAAGATGCAAAGTAATACGGACACTTGTGCACAATAATAGTTTTAGTTAGCTTGCTTGTGCAATTTATCTGATTAATAATAATAATCTAGGCTATTAAAACGTCGGCAAGCAGTCAACATCAAAAGAGTGCAACTTCTGTACATAGTACTATGATTTATTCTGTGACATAGTCATAGTCATTTATTCCATAGAACAATATTACGTTGTATTGGAAATTTATTACATGCATAGAGACATTTACATGCAATTATTTTAATTAAAATTGAAATCGATAAAATTTAAACATCATTTAACAAATTAATTAAATAATTTTCATGTCATAATACACTACAAATTACATTAAAAATTATATAATACATAAACAATAAAAATTAACATTGATTAAGTTTATTTTTGTCATTTAAGTAATCGTCAACTGAGTAGTAGCTTTTTTTAATTAATAAAGATTTTAATTTATTTTGAAATTTGTGGTGGCAATAAATAGTTTTAAATGAGGTAGGCAAAGAATTAAATAGTCCAATGGCTTGATATCTTGTGCTGTGGCGTACAACATTCAATGTTGGTGTGATAGAAATTTTTATATCTTTTCGGCGGGTCATATCTCTCTTTTTCCTTTCTTCCTATGTTTCATATTTGTGAAAGTTCTTTACTAAATGAGTAAGTGAAACTAAGATATACAGAGAGGGAACCGTTAATATGCCAAGATTTCGGAAATGTTCCTTACACGATTCAATTTGTGGAATACGTAACATGGTACGGATCGCCCTTTTTTGTAGTACAAACGCTGCCTTAATATTATACTTATAACTATTGCCCCAGAATATTATGCTATAACGTAGTTTAGATTCAACCAGAGCAAAATAAACCATTTTTAGCTGTTCTAATGTAACTTCTTCTCGTAAACTTCTTAAGGCATAGCATGCTGAACTGATAGTGGATTCTAGTGCTTTAATTTCCTTTTTCCAATTTAAATACATGTCTATGTGGATTCCTAGAAATTTGACTGATTCAACAGAGTCAATACTTATACCGTCAATGTTAACGTTTATTGAATCTTTTTGTCTTGCTGTAGATTTAAAAAGCATTGCGATGTTTCATTTGTGTTTAATAAAAGATTGTTTGTAGTAAACCAACTTTTAAAGTCATACAGTGTGTTTTTCATTTTAGTATTTAATTCCCTAACCCCCTTACTCTTCAAATTTCCAACCAAGAACTATCCCGACACGCCTTATCTAATTTACACTTTATAACTTTTAAAATGCCTAATATTAGTGAAAATTGTAGAATAATAGAGTAATAATATTTTAAGCTTTGGTAAATTTTTATGTTGACCATTAAAATAACAACATTTTAATAATTGCATTTGCATGGAAAGGTAAATAAAGCTCGAAAGATAGCATACATTTTTAAAAGAAGGTGATATGGGATGTATGGTAACTATATCATATATTTAAATAAACTAAAAACTAAATGCATATCTAACACACTAGTATTCCTGTCGCTCGAATGTAGAACGTGAGCATAAATTAGGTTCTATAAGATAACAAACTTTAAATTATGAGAAGGTGAGTCAATGCTACAATATTCAGAATACCAATAAGTTCAATAAACTGAAGACTTAATAGACGATGTTCGAGTCACAAAAAATAATTTTCAAAATACAGTTCTTCAACATTAATTTTATGAAATACTAATTCCATATCTCATTAAAAATAAAAGAAAGAAAATTTAACTCACCCTTAGCGTCGCAATCAACACAGTATTTGTTATCTTCATCCTTTAACATTTGCATTAATATATTCTGACATCGATCCTGAATTTGTTTAGCTCGATCTTTTTCACTTTTAGAAGTCATTTTTATGACTTATTTTATTAAAATATGGGTGGATATGGTACGACAACTTATATTTGTTGAAGGTTGAAGACAAGAAACTACAACAAGACTAGTAAAAGTGACAGCTGTGATGAGGTGTATTATGGTTACTGTACTCTATGAAAATGGTTTACTTTTTAGTCTATGTCCAGGAAAGATAAAATAAATTCTACAAAAGAATCGACCTATCGATATGTCCTCTACATAGACATAGTATCTTATAGACTAAACATTCCGTGACGTCATCAGCGTGTGAAAGGAATGCACGTATATAGTTAGACATAAGAGTAAGGGAGAAGCAAATCTATATTTCTTGTCTTTTTCTAGGTATACGTTTTTGATTGTTTTCCCTCCTTTATTTGACATTAACGATGTCAAGCTCTTTTGAATAATATTGATATTATAAGCAAACAGGTAATAGAATTTAGTGTTTTTTGTGGATCGTAGTTACTAGGTAAGGTGAAAAAGATGGGAAGTTGTAGCATTTTAGGATGCAACAGCATCAGTCAATGAAAAATTGTTATTATTACCTTTCATCGGTAAGTTTGTTTTGTGCTTACATTTGCTACTTGTACTGATTAGTATCTGTTGTTTTGAATATAAAGCGTAACATTTCATGTTTTTAATGAACTTTGTGATGTATATATTGTCAAATATTTGGACTCCCAAATTGTAAATTCTTCATGATAATGCTCCTTAATTTGAACGGTCATTCGAAAGCTTAAAGTCATAACAAACGTGTACTTTTTGATTTGGTAGGATTATAGAAACTTTAGGGATATCAGCGAGTACAATAATGTTTTCGCATTGTTCAATAATAATTGTTATTGTGATAGTAGTTATGTCCATAAATATGAATCACATAATGTTATACATATGCATACACTTTTATGTTCAGCTTTAAAGGAAACTCCTTATTGCCCTACAAATCTTCAATCATTTTCCATATTACATAGACTTCACAAATAATATGTAAGTATCAACCTGAAAACATGTTTCTATTCAAGTACATAAATATTGGGCAAAGTATATTTAATTTCACAAAATATGTATTGCCTGAAATCAGATGCACAAAACTTTATTGCATTCCAATAATTCTATTATACATTAGCAACAATTACATTACAATATTTATTAAAAAAATATTTCATGCTAATATAAAAATAAATATAAATATAGATAAAATAATAAATAATAAATAAGTCTTAATCTTAAGGTACACAATAACACAACAACATAAGATAATATTCTCAATTAATGATGTAGAAAAAATTTGATGATAACATACTTACCGTTACCATTAGTCAGTATCAAAAGTTATAGGTTTTGTGATAGTTGCCTAGCTTGGCACGAGAATTGGCAACTGCAGTTATTTGGAGACAAACTGTGCGGGAGGTCTATGTTCAGCGGTGGAGGACATTTGTTAGGCTGTAAATGTATTAATTAACAATATCTAAAGCTTAATATGTACATAATTTTTTAAAATGTTTGGTATGAATAATATTTTCATTACATTTACATATACTTGCTATTTAATTAAATCAATTGATATTGTTTTAATTGTTATAGGTATTGTATTTATGCACAGATACACATACCTACTTTATTTTTTTGTTAAATACCTTGATATAAAAGTGTACTATATATTTAATATATTAATTTCTTTTAAATATATTATTTTACAGCTTTCCTAAGGAGTCAGCTATCCGTAACAGTTGGATAATCGCTACTGGTAGTGCTTATAGGTAACCAACAAAACTTAGCAGTATATGCTCAAAACATTTTAAGCCTCATTGTTTTAGGTGGACTAAATATGCTTAACTTATGTAATTTATAATATAATTAAGATAATTTTTTTAAATGTTATAATTTCTTGTTGTATCTTGTTGTTTCTCCATAAGTGATATAAGTTTGATCTTGTTGGTAGTTATGATTTTTGACATTGTTCTGTATGTATTAAAAATTGACTAGCATTGCTTATTTTATTTTCAAATGCTGACATTCTGTATTATTATGACTTGTAATAATTGGGTGGCATGACAATGACAAAATATTTACTTATAGATGTATTGATTAAACATGAATCCTCATTTACAAATGTTGGTTCTTTATCTGTACTACCATGTTTTATGCAAATAAAGATTTAAATAAAATAAATAAATAAGTAATTTAAAGTCCTAACCTAAATATACAAATGAATAATTTATTATGCAATAATAATTGTAAGACTGACTGGGAATGCCTACCAATGGGACATTTAGTCCACCCTTAATCACTTTTATAAAGGTGTTATAGACATTAATGTGTAAATAAATTAAAAAATGAATGTAATAATTATGATAATTTCTATTTAATTGTCATAAAAATAATGTAATAAAGATGTTATTGGCAAGAGATAAGTATTACCTATCTAAGTATAGTTTAGAAGTTGTACCTTATTATTTATACCATTAAAATATATTATATACAAGGCAAATAATATATATATATATATATACACTCCCTTCTAATCTGACTCTAACGACCAGCACCCAAGAATTTCTGCCATGCAAAAGTATAAATCAAGTTTACAAATGCATATTTTTGAGAAATTCTAAGGCTACTCAAACCAAGAATTACAACGAATGCCCTAGAAAGAAGACAAAAATTTTGTTAAATTTGTTGTTTATTAATGTGATGAAAAATTAATAAATAATCGTTTGTTTATTTTAATTTTATTGAATTATATTTAATAATATAATTGTGTTTTCATTTGTTTTACTTAATGTAACATTGTTAGTATTTCTATTTTGTGTAAGTACACAAAAATTAGTTCATTTTCCTTTTCATTTAAATAGAATTCAATATATTTTATTATTATATAATATATATATTATTATTAGAATTTCAATATATTTTCATTTAAATAGAATATATATCTTTACAGTCTATCAAAAGTCCACTGTTGAACATAAACATTATTATAGTTATTTGGTATAGTTTCAACGCTTGGAAAGCGGGTTGTCAACCATTATTTAGCTGTTATCAGTACAATGCTGCTGTTTATCTTCTTTGATGTTTCCCTATGTCGCCTCATACACCACCCATGGAATGATATGAGGTAGCAGATAATCTTACACTGCATGGTAAATTAAAATAAAATATTATAAAACATTCGTTTTTATTTTATATACCAACATATTACAAAAAAAAAAAGATCCTTTGTTGATGCTTTACAACGTATATTAACTAAAACATTTTACCACCTTAACCATTAGGTAACATGATTAAGCCATCTAACAATAAGTAAGTCAGCTATTACAGTGGTAGAGCCACGCGGCAGCTTTTGCTGTCGCACGGATGGGCCGGCTCGAACCGGGGTGGTACCACGACCTCACAGAAAACCAGCGTGAAGTAGAGGTTTACCTCTGCGTTTCACTTGGTGAGTGCAGGTGGCCGGAGGCCCTCTTTACTGGAAATGAGGCATTCCATCTTAGTCCTCACGGGTGACAACGCATCTACATTCTACATATTGATTTGTAATAGAGGATAGATGTAGATGTCTATGGGCCACAGCAACCACTTACCATCAGGTGGACTGTGATCGTTTGTCACCCTAATCCATAAAAAAAAAGCTAAAAAAGGCCTTCCATAGATATCCTCATAGGATGACTTGCCATAGTTGGCCACCGTAGTTTTTTATTATTTTAAGTTTTCATCGGGAAAGTGCTGCTGCCCCATCCCCATCTTGTATTATTGCTTACGACGCGGGGTAATATCATCCCGTGTACAGACAAATTCTCTTGTACGCCACAACTTGCCGCACACAAGACACTAACTTTGCAAAACATGCAGAAAATCGCGGGAGTAGGCTCATAACCGTGTTTTGTACTACAAAACCTAAGTGGAAACCTTTTCCTTTCGAAGGTCTGTGTTCAGCACTGAACTTGTGATGGAATGGTATGTTAAAACATTATTGATTTTTTTTTTTGTAAAAACGACAAAACTCGACACAAGGAAATTTTTGTTTATTATTTAATATTTTTATTCTCAATTAATATTTAAGTACATACATAACATATTGTTATTTATTAGCGATATCACACTTTGTGCTATTAGCGCCTTCACTTAGTGTCGCCGAAATCCAAAGAGTTTATTGAATGTCCAGTAAAATCGTCGATGCGCCGTTGAATACAGAATAATGATTCTGTTTTTACGCCGTTTCCGCCCGCAGTTTTTGCCACAGAATGTATTTTCAAGAAAAATTAATTAATCATCTGAATTATAAAAGAACAATTTTTTATGGTAACAATTAAGTTTTTTGTATGAATGTAAGTGCTGTGAATATAAAAAAACCCATAACGGGGGATATGGAACAATATCTGGTAACCCAGTGAAAGTACCTCCCGCCTATTTCTATCTCAAAAGCATACGCGAATGCTTTATCTAGTCAATCCTCTATCTACGGTCCTTTATAATCCTGTATAATCTTTGTTTCCGGGAATTTGTAGTATGACAATAACAAATCCAGTGTAGTAGCGGGAGCGATCCCGAATGTATTCACAGACTGCTAACTCCTGGAGTGTCGATTCTTCACGTCAGCTATAATATGTTTTATGATGGGCTTTTATAGTTAGGTTGTCAGGATTTTGGACTCTTGTCAGGCAAGATTACCTTTGGATTTTGCAAATATCAACCTCTTTGATGTTTCAATAACATACAGTTGGTTTTTGGAGTTGGCGCGTAATTGTATATATGATATAGAGGTCAGTGTGTTGGCTATAGACGTCCGGTACTTGATTTTGATACTGTTTTCAATTTAGGAGGCTTGTCATGGTTAAGCTTTAACATTTTACACTGTTTTTGGATGTCGGAAATGCGTTTTAATTAATTACGAAAGAAATAAACTTCACTAAAAATTTTAATAAAATGTATTAGTACTCTATTTTATGATTATTTACAGTGATAAAAAGTTTAATACTACATACTATATACATAGTATT